GGGCCCGGGGCGGGGCGGGGGGGCGGTGCCGGTGTCGGGGCTGTGGTGTCGGTGTCGGGGCTGTGGTGTCGGTGTCGGGGCTGTGGGGTCGGTGTCGGTGCTGTCGGGCGGTGTCGGGGCTGTGGTGTCGGTGTCGGGGCTGTGGGGTCGGTGTCGGTGCTGTCGGGCGGTGTCGGGGCTGTGGTGTCGGTGTCGGGGCTGTGGTGTCGGGACCACAGGTGAGTTGTTGGGACTTCACTGACGGAACAGCAGAAAAAGTTTGAATTCCGGTCCGGACTCGAACACCGCCGCGAAGCGCTGTCCCGACACTCCGGGACTCCGGGACTGGAATGTGGCCTCTGGTCACACCGAGTGTGAGAGAGAGAGAGAGAGAGAGACTACTGATCTGTGTGTGTGTGTGTGTGTGTGTGAGAGAGAGATTAGTGATCTGTGTGTGTGAGAGAGAGAGACTAGTGATCTGTTTGTGTGAGAGAGAGACTAGTGATCTGTGTGTGTGTGTGTGTGTGAGACTAGTGATCTGTGTGTGTGAGAGAGAGAGACTAGTGATCTGTGTGTGTGTGAGAGAGAGAGACTAGTGATCTGTGTGTGTGAGAGAGAGAGAGAGACTAGTGATCTGTGTGTGTGAGAGAGAGAGAGAGACTAGTGATCTGTGTGTGTGAGAGAGAGAGAGACTAGTGATCTGTGTGTGTGAGAGAGAGAGAGACTAGTGATCTGTGTGTGTGAGAGAGAGAGAGAGACTAGTGATCTGTGTGTGTGAGAGAGAGAGAGAGACTAGTGATCTGTGTGTGTGAGAGAGAGAGAGACTAGTGATCTGTGTGTGTGAGAGAGAGAGACTAGTGATCTGTGTGTGTGTGTGTGTGTGAGACTAGTGATCTGTGTGTGTGAGAGAGAGAGAGACTAGTGATCTGTGTGTGTGTGAGAGAGAGACTAGTGATCTGTGTGTGTGTGAGAGAGAGAGAGACTAGTGATCTGTGTGTGTGTGAGAGAGAGAGACTAGTGATCTGTGTGTGTGAGAGAGAGACTCGTGATCTGTGTGTGTGAGAGAGAGAGAGACTAGTGATCTGTGTGTGTGTGTGTGTGTGTGAGACTAGTGATCTGTGTGTGTGAGAGAGAGAGAGACTAGTGATCTGTGTGTGTGAGAGAGAGAGAGACTAGTGATCTGTGTGTGTGTGAGAGAGAGAGACTAGTGATCTGTGTGTGTGAGAGAGAGAGAGACTAGTGATCTGTGTGTGTGAGAGAGAGAGACTAGTGATCTGTGTGTGTGTGTGTGTGTGAGACTAGTGATCTGTGTGTGTGAGAGAGAGAGAGACTAGTGATCTGTGTGTGTGAGAGAGAGAGAGACTAGTGATCTGTGTGTGTGAGAGAGAGAGACTAGTGATCTGTGTGTGTGTGTGTGTGGACTAGTGATCTGTGTGTGTGAGAGAGAGAGAGACTAGTGATCTGTGTGTGTGTGAGAGAGAGACTAGTGATCTGTGTGTGTGTGAGAGAGAGACTACTGATCTGTGTGTGTGTGTGTGAGAGAGAGACTAGTGATCTGTGTGTGTGTGTGAGAGAGAGAGAGACTAGTGATCTGTGTGTGTGTGTGTGAGAGAGAGACTAGTGATCTGTGTGTGTGTGAGAGAGAGACTAGTGATCTGTGTGTGTGTGTGAGAGAGAGACTAGTGATCTGTGTGTGTGTGAGAGAGAGACTAGTGATCTGTGTGTGTGTGTGAGAGAGAGAGAGACTAGTGATCTGTGTGTGTGTGTGTGTGAGAGAGAGACTAGTGATCTGTGTGTGTGTGTGAGAGAGAGAGAGACTAGTGATCTGTGTGTGTGTGAGAGAGAGACTAGTGATCTGTGTGTGTGTGTGAGAGAGAGACTAGTGATCTGTGTGTGTGTGTGTGTGTGAGAGAGAGACTAGTGATCTGTGTGTGTGAAAGAGAGATTAGTGATCTGTGTATGTGAGAGATTAGTGATCTGTGTGTGGGAGAGACCAGTTATCTTTGTAGTGATCTGTGTGTGTGGGAGAGACTAGTGATCTGTGTGTGTGGGAGAGACTAGTGATCTGTGTGTGTGAGAGAGAGACTAGTGATCTGTGTGTGTGGGAGAGACTAGTGATCTGTGTGTGTGAAAGAGAGATTAGTGATCTGTGTGTGGGAGAGACCAGTTATCTTTGTAGTGATCTGTGTGTGTGGGAGAGACTAGTGATCTGTGTGTGTGAAAGAGAGATTAGTGATCTGTGTGTGGGAAGAGACCAGTTATCTTTGTAGTGATCTGTGTGTGTGTGTGTGTGTGGAAGAGACCTGTGATCTGTGTGTGTGTGTGTGTGTGTCCTACGCTGTAATGAGCTGAAATCTTGTCTGAGACTGGTGATCTGAGATCTGTTGGGGGGTGAGGTTATAGTGAGCTAATACCTGTGTCTATGAGACCGGTGTGTGTGGGTGGGTGTGTGGGTGTGGGTGGGTGTGTGTGGGTGGGTGTGTGGGTGTGGGTGGGTGTGTGGATGGGTGTGTGGGTGGGGGATGGAGATGTAAGTGGGGTCTCCTCAGCTCATCAGCAGGAAGGGCCGACCAGTCGCTGGGGGTCAGGGAATCCTCCCAGTCAGCTCCTGGTAACCTAAGCTCCTTGGAAACCAAAGCGCTAACCAAAGGCTCGGGTGGTCCTGGCTGGACAGGCAGCAGGAAAGCTCGGCCGGACAGCGATATCCACGGCCGATCTGCGTGGGTTTAAACTGGTTAGATTCCGGCGGTTACCCCCAACGCCCACTCTGGGGGTCTCCCCCGGCCCGGCCCGGCCCGGCCCAGCCTTGGCTCTCGCCAACCTGCGCCCTGGTACGTTCCGGAATTAGGTAAGCAGGATACCACCCTCCAGGGAAGGAGAGAGAGAGGGGGAGAGAGAGAGAGAGTGTGAGAGTGAGAGTGCGCATTCCATTCCAACAACATCTCTGGAATTTCCATGTGTGGGTGGGATGCATGGAATTCCCAGCTTGGGGCTCGGACACTCTTTAAGCAACGGTGTGGGGGCTCAGCGTGTGTTAGGCAAAAAGAATCTGAGATCTGCGTGTGTGTGTGTGTGTGTGTGTGCGAGACTGTTGTGATCTGAGATCCGCTTGTGAAAACCAGGAAGGGGGAACCTGCGGGTGAGTGGATTTCTGTTGTGAGAGAAGCTCGTAAGTGGGAAGGTATCAGCGTGAGACATGTGCGCGGGGAGACCTGGGTTAGGAGTGCCACCAACTGGGAATTCGGATGAGGCTGGAAAGCCGGTATCAGTTGGCGAGTCTGTAATAAACCACTGGAACGCATTGCTTCAATCCCTCCGCCCGCCCCCCCCCCCGCCCCACCTTGCCCCCTCTTTGCCCATCTTCAGATCGCTACCTGGAGGACTTTCCTCTTCGACGTTACCTCTCTCCCCGGCTGTGGCGCCAGACTGTGCCAACGTGAAGCACGCCCACGGTACAAATGCAAGTTGTTGCTGTTGTTGTTGTAGTACCGTCAAAGGGTTAGCGAACCTGATGGGGAAGGAGGTGGATTAACTTCAGCAGAAGTGCATTAATTAACCGAAGGCTGTAAAGATGGTGTAAGCTTTACAACAGGCGCCTTGGGACGTCCTCCCGACGTGAAAGGCGCTCTATAAATAGAATCTTGTTGTTGTTGTTGTTGTTGTAAGTTTAACAGCAGCTTGGGTTCTCTTGTTACTCTTGGTGAGGTGCAAAGCCATGATGGCATCCCATCACGTGTACGTTTCCGGCTTATTTTCTGCAGTCGAAGTTCAATACCGGGTCCTCCGTGCAGCGCAGTCAGTCACTTTGAAGATTGAATTTTCCAGTCAAAGGGGAGATAAACTGTCAGAACAAATAAACTCTGAGATAACTCTGAGATAAACGCAGAACAAATCTGCGGAAACGCTACTTCGGTGAGCGCGCAGCGAAACGTATGGAACGGGCTCCCTCGGGAGATGGCGGAGACAGAAATTGTTGTTTCTTTCGAGAGCAAATGAGATAGATTTCTGTTAGGAGATGCTACCTCCTCGGGATACAGTCTATAGTTTGGGACACGATATGTCAAGCCATTGCCAGGATGGTGGAAGGCAAACTGGATGGACTTGGTCTTTTGCCCACAGCAAATTCTTATGTTCTTTGCTGGTTGTTTCCAATGATTGCTGTGTTTCCTGTGATTTCCTGTCGGCGAGACCTGTATATGTTGCTTCCTACACACTCCTACCTTGGTTGAATGTATCATCACCAGGGTGATTCGCCAGACAGTGCTCTTAATGACCAGCTATGTGATTTTTAACAGGTTAAGCCACCAGCAGTAACCACAATACACGCTCTCGGGTCCCGAAGCCTTGGCTCTTGCCGACCTGCACGCTTGACGCTCTCTGGAATGACGTGAGCAGGGTGCGCAATCCATTCCAGACCAGGGAAATATCCTTGTGGAAGTGGTTCCTGTGTGTGGAACTTTGTCTGGGTTGGATGCTAACAACAACAACAGCAACAACAACAGTTTGCATTCATGTAGCGCCCTTCACGCAGGATAACGTGTTAGAGCACTTCGCAGTGATGGAATCAGACTCCCAAGCAAGGTCGAAGGGAGAAGGTGAGCATAGATAGCTAAGAGGTAGATCTTAAAGACGTATAGAGAGGGGAGCACGGTGCTGAGTTTATGCACGTGTCAGACCTCCCGTCTAATTTCCCTCCCCCGAAAACGGTGGCGAGCCATTGAAAGGAGCCGAGCGTGATAGCTTTGTCGAGGTCGAACTGGAGAAAGTTGAGGCTCGTCTTCGGCTCGGGTGCACGTCAGAACCTCAATCCCGGTGAGTTGAGGCCGGAGTCGAGGCGGAGAAACGTGGCGTTGGAGGATACGCGATGGTTGGGCGTGGCGATTCCCCCAGTTTATGAAGCCAGCAGGTGGACCCGTGGTTATCGAGGGTAAATCAGGAATTGCTGTCCTGGATCTGACCGAGTCCAACTTCCCCCTCCGCGAACAAGTTGAACGGTTACAGGTGCTTTGCTCTGCTGTAATCCTGTTGTTGCTCTCAGAGACGCCAGGGGGCATCGCTTTGTCTTGTGCCTGAGACCGACTGTCCATAAAGTACGAGAATATTTGATGCAGTGCTGCAGTGACGAGGCTTTGCACATCGTGTGCATTAACCATCGCCGGGCGGGCAGGCAGGCAGGCAGACAGAGAGGGAGACAGGCAGACAGACAGCTTTCCTGCAGGGAAGGAAGGAAGGCAGTCAGTGGGACGGAGAACCAGCCTTCGAGACAGTGGCGAGCCAGGTGAGTGATTGATATGTGCCTGTGTAAATGTTGGGATTCATACCGAGGGACTTGTGTAAGCTCGTGAGATGTGCTGCCGGACGGCAAGAGGTGGGCAGCTGGTCGGTTTATAAGGACTGTTTCAGACTGTGAGAGGGGCAATCTCTACATCTCCAGCTAGTGATCACCGCGAAAGATCAAACGGGGTAAACTGCGGAAGCCACGAGCTGTCTGAAGGAAGAAGGGTTCTTTTAGTCTTTGAGTCACAGGCGATGGACCAGATTGTCAGTGAGGTTGATCACTGACAATACTCAGCCAGTTAGTTACAAAGGACATCGGGTCGGATCCCGGCAGTGCAAGGAGCAGAAGCTCTGGGGTATGATATGAGAAATGATCAGTTTGCGTCCCGGTAATGGAGCGAGCCAAGCAGCGGATTTTATTTCTGCTGCGTTTTTGCATTGCATATTAGGTGGCGGCTGATCTCTGTGCGTTAATTCCAAAGGAATTGGGTCAATACATGAATGAGGACAGTCTTTACTGTAACCACAATTGTTAAAAAAAATTTGTGTGAAATTGTGAATGTGAAAGAAAGAAAGAAAGAAAGCAAGAAAGAAAGCGCAGGAATTTAAAGGCTAGGGAGAATATAGATTGTGTTTTGTTTCTCGTCCCAATTTGTTTTCAGACTGTAGCAGAGCGTAGAGCGAACCAGCTATTGGAAACACAAGACGGAGGTAGGATATAATGTCAAGTTGAAGTGCGGACTTGGGCTAAAGCTGACATCAAATTTGATACGGTCTCAATAGGAGCAACTGCTGTTTCAATACAGAATTTTAAAATACTCTGTCTCCCAGTAGGTAATGCGCAGGGTCTGGTGCAGTCACTTTGTAGCTGTGGGAAGTCCCAAAGTAGTGTTAAAATCTTATCACTCTGTGTGTAACCATGTCCTACGGTAGGTTGAACGCAATGGTCTTCGTTGCCGTGTCGGTGAGGATAGCTTGTAAACGTCGTGGTCCAAGTAATAATAATAATGATGACGATAATATCGTTGCGTTCGGAATAGAGCCTTATCGCGTCAGAAGGACGTCTCAAAGCGCTTCACAGGAATTACTTTATTAATTAAAGGAATCAAGTAAGGAACAAAAGAAGGTTAAAGGAACGAGAAAGCCAGGACAATGAGCCCAAGTGCGCTGTCATGTTATCGTATGCAATGAAGCTCAGTAACTGTGCTCTCTGTCAGTGTGTCAGGATTATAATAAGATAAAGACAATAGGGATGGAGATGGGAAGGTGGATATGTTACCTGTACTGTTCTGTCTGAGGTCGATCTCCTCAGACAGGCAAAGGGATTGAAGTCGGGTTTCTTTGAGAAAATGCCATCAGTTTTTTTTTTTTTGTCTGAGTCTGAGATAATCGGCCAAATTCTGTTGGTGTTTCAAAATTACGAGGGGTTTTGTGAAGAGTAGACAGAGATAAGCTTTTTCCGCTGGTGGGCGGGTGCGTGGGTCGGCAACCAGAGGACACAGACTTAAGGTAATTGGCAAAAGAGCCAAAGGGGAGACGAGGAGACATTTTATTTTACTCAGACAATTGTTACGAGTCTGGAACGCACTGCCTGGGGGGTGGAAACAGATTCATCACCAATAACAACTTACATTTATATAGCGCCCTTCGCGCTGGACCGGGTCTCGGAGCGCTTAAGAATCGACAATAGCTTTCCAAAGGGAATTAGACAGGTACTTAAAAAGGGGAGTGGGGGTGGGACGAGTTGGTTGCTCTTTCGAAAAGCCGGCACAGGCACAACGGGTCGAATGACCTCCTTCTGTGCTGTAAAATTCGATGAGCTGTCAGGACTTTGTGAATGCGGATGAGGTGACTATGGTGACAGCTCCACCGGTCTGCGCTGCTATTTGAGCTATTGCAGCGACAGAACCGTGTGGGTTACAGCGTCTTTCCGCTGGACCGGTCACAGAGGACACACCGAGCCTGTTTACCCGCTGGGAGACTTATCATACCTTAGACCCCAGCAGTGAGGCGGCAGAGCTGGGAACGAGCTATTATTAAATTGAGACGCTTTTTTTTTTTCTTTACTTCGTTCACGGTATGTGTCCAGGCCGCTGCGTCCGCGCCTTCTAAGACTTCGACTGAAGACGCGACATGTTTAGTTGAACCAGAAAGGCTGGTTTTACCGTGCCGTAGATTACAGAGGCTTTGTCTTGGGAGTCGGGGAGAATTGTTGGCCAGGACACGAGGAAAGAGAGAGAGAGAGAGAGAGAGAGAAAAAAACTTCCTCCTTCTCTTTTTAAACAGTGCCGTGGGATCTTGCAACAGGCAGACGGGATTAAGTGCGAGTCTAATTGAATTTTAAAGGAATTCCCTTTTTTTTTTCTCCCCCCCCCACCCCCCGCCCCCACCCCCATTAGCGTTCTGTAATCCAGAGTCGGGAGTCAGTGCAGAAACACCTTCTGGATAGAAAAAAAGACGTCATTGGTTTTTGTAGCGCTGAATTTAAACCTTGGCACAAGTGATGAGAGGAGTTGCCGGGTGACGAGGGATTTAAGGTAATTGCTTCTCTTTGTCTTGCGAATTCAGAGGAGATGTTTAGTTCTGCCCCAACTGCGATTCGGGAGGCGATTTCGAAACCAAAAATTTAGGCAGCGGGAGAGAAAGCAAAAGGCGGAGGGAGGCTGCGGGTGGCCGAGCGCTGTCTGTCCGTGGAGCATTGCCGTGTGTGCAAAGCGGGTGCGGGATTTGCCTGCAAAGTACCGTCACTACGCTTTACAGTAATTTCTGCGAAGCGCTTTGAGATGTCCCCTCAACGCGAAAGGTACTACGTATTCAGTCTTCCTTGCGCCATTCATTGAATCCTATTCCCCCCCCCCCCCCCACACACTCCCCCCTCCTCTGATCCCCTCTTTACTCGTTCATCCCAGGTCATTTCACAGCACGGTCTCTCTTTAAATGTCGGACCCGATCCGGGAATCTTTGGAGCTGCCGCTATCGGTTCCATTGGGAAAACCGGTCTTCCTTAGGATTCTCCGAGAAGCATCTTTGCAGCTTCTGCTGTCCGTTTTGTATGAACGGTTATGAACGCGCAGCAGCATTGGTTGCTTCCTGCCGGTTAAACCACTTGAGCTGATACTCGAGAGCGCGAGAGAGCCGGAGACCGAGAGAGAGAGAGAGAGAGAGAGAGAGCGCGAGCGAGCGAGAGTGCTGTCACACGTCAATCCCATTCCGACGTTATTATTTGTCAACCAATTATCTTAGGAACTCAGGCTGATAATTTGACAGCCTGAACAAACGATAAAATCGTAGAAAGCGCTTTGCTTCGGTGCACAACGAGGGGTCCTGGGCCGATTGCAGCCATCTCCCCCCTCCCCCCCCCCCCCCACCACCCCTCTCTCCCTCAAACACCCCCACCCTCCCCACCACACGCGCACACACACACACACACACGCACGCACGCACACCCTGCTTACACCTCGCCCCCTCCTCTGACACCTCTTGTCAGTGCACCGGCTGACACCCTCTGCCTTGCGTTTCGATTCTCTTTAAATCTCTTTTGTTTCTTCCTTTTTATCGCTAATGAGGGTTTTTACAAAACCCGCACCTTCCCCCCAGCCCACGCTTTGTCAACAGTCCTTTATTCAGGTGGGTGATTACCGCTGACAGGCTCCGTGTGGGTGGGATCCCTTGAAATCTTATTGTCTGCTCATGTTAAAGAGTTTTGAGTGAGCTTTTTTTTCTCCCCCCCCCCCCCCCCACATAAAACGTTCGGATCAGGTTCACGTTGCTCTGCCGCGGCCTCGGCTCCTGTTGCCACCGCTTCAGTTTTTTATTCAGAGTCTGCGTATCATCGCTTGGTAAACTTTTTGAACCCTGTGTATAACTGTTGAACAGACTTTGAGGCAGTACACTGATTTAGCGCTCTGTCCGTTCATCCCCGAGACCTGGCTTTCTAATAATAATAATAATAATAATATTAATAATCCCTGCATTTGATATAGCGCCTTATCACGTCTTCGAGACGTCTCAAAGCGCTTCGCAGAATACAATGTAAAGTGAGTTGACAGAGTTTTTGTGGGCCAGACACGACATGTCACTCACTCACTCACTCACTCACTCACTCACAGCAGTGTCCCACAAATAGTCATTGTTTATTATCATCATAATAATTATTATTATTATTTTCATAAATTATTGTTTATTAACATATTATTTGCATTTAGACAGTTTCACGCTCACTCAAGACACTCGCGACACACACACTCGCGACACACACACTCGCGACACACACACTCGCGACACACACTCACTCGCGACACACACTCACTCGCGACACACACTCACTCGCGACACACACACACTCGCGACACACACTCACTCGCGACACACACACTCACTCAAGACATACTCAAGACACACTCACTCACGACACACTCACTCAAGACACACTCACTCAAGACACACTCACGACACTCACTCAAGACACACACACACACACACTCTGAAACAGTGTTTGTACACAGTAAGGAGTGCAGGCGGTTTCAGTTTGGTTGCTCTTTAAGAGCTGTTTTGTTCTCTCCTCTATCGTAATTGAGAATTTTGCTCAATTGAGCTCCCTCCGTTAAGCAGTGTGGTGGGCGAATGACGTTCCGGGCTGGTCTGGCCCCGGGAGAAACGGCTTCAGGTGAATTTCTTGAGACAAAAGCCCACACAATCAGCTGAAGTGGAATTTGTTCCTTGTAACGTATTTGCTTCAACATGTGACACGGAAAGTCTCAGTCGATAGTATTTGATTGACGCTGTCAGCTCCGCACTTGGCTCTGTTGCCTGCCCTAGTCATGACTCCTCTGAATGAGTTACGGATGGAGTCTTGCTGTGCAAGGTTTCGGTTTTGTGACTGTGTGTCCTCCCGCGCGCACCCCCAACCCCCCCCCCCACCCCCACACCCCCCCGCCACCCGCCCACCCCGCCACGCAACCCCACTCTCCTCTCCCGCCTTCCGTTGTAGAGGCCAGACTTCTGCTTAGGGTAGATGTTTGTGGTTTGTTTTCGAATCCCGCAGCGAATCCTTCGACTAACACTGACACGTCTGGTTTCAGCAATGAGAAGCTGAGTTTGCAGTTACAGAGCAGGAAGTTATCACCCGCCCACCCACCCAGACACCCAGACACCCTAGGAGCTGCTTTTTACACTGAGCACGGACGCTACGGAGTCAGAATTCAAAGGGGGGGGAGAGGGGGGTCCTCCTCGGAATCGCTGGTCTCCTAAGAGGTGGTAGAGTCACAGATCCTGTAGACCAGGGAAACCCTCTCGGCTTCTTGGCTTCGTTGACCGGAGAGACTCGGAAGGAAGAGTGTGGGGGGGGAGTGTTGAGCACCGTGTTCAGCGCTTGAGAGAGAGAGAGAGAGAGAGAAAGAGAGAGAGTCTCTGCTCTGTGGATGATTAGCAGGTGCTCCCATTACTGATCAACTAATCACTACAGAACTAACACAATTACGGGAAAATCCAGCAATGGACCCGTGACACCAAGGGATGTGGGGCCAGAGTCCCGGAACGCGCATTCCTGTGTCAGCACTTGTGCTGCGCTGGGAACATGGGGCAACTCTCATTGATAGAAATTACCGGAAAGCCCAGGATTTTTATCCCCCCCCCCACCCACCCACCCACCCCCACCGAAACAAATTTGATGTAGCACCTTACCAAGTCTCTTGAGACGTCTCAAAGCGCTTTGCAGAATGTACGGTAAAGTGGAGTGACTGTGCATTTTGTGCGCAAAACGAGAGAGCCAATTGCGCACGGCAGCGTCCCGCAAGCAGTCGTGGATTGAGTCGCCCAATTTTTTTTAGGGTGTGTGGGGTGTTGATGGGGGGGGGGGGGGGGAGGGAATGTTTGGTTTAAAGTTCAGATATCAATGGGCCGTTTTATGGTCCTGTGCGTTTCTGTGCGCGTCTCTTTTCACTTGGAATCTTTAAAATGGTCAAAGAAGGAGAGTTTTGTTTAATCTCCGCTGTGTTTGTTGGACTGGAGCCCACAGCCCCTCAGGCACAGTCACTCAGCCCACTGGCCCTCACTGTGCAGGTTCAGTGACTTTCAACACTGACGGTAAAATGAACCGCTCAGGTGAGGGGAATCTCACTGGTTACACTTGGAGCAAGAGCCCTTGTCTGGTGGGGCAGGTGGGGGTTGGGAAGGGAAATTGACCGGGGGCTGTTTGTACCATTTTGGTCTGATGCATGCGGAAAACCCATCTCCCCGCTTAAAGATTATCCTAACAGACTGGGAGCTCCACAAGTGAAGGCTGCCTACGCTTGGAAACTTCCCCCTGCGTCTGGAAATGGAATGAGCACTCACTCTCTCTGGAGGGATGCACTCTGCGTACCAAGTTCCAGAGAGTATTAGGCGCAGAGCCAAGGCTCCAGGACCCCAGAGTGGTTCGGCATTGGAAGTACTTGCTGGAGTTTAACCAGCCAGGTCTGCCTTCGCTTGCCGTTGAGAGCACTGTCAGGCCAGCAGCCGGCCGCGAGGTTGTCCAGTTAGGTTTGGCTCGCAGGGTTAACAGGAACTCTGCGGGAATACATCACCCGAGGGCAGAATAGGTTAAGTGTTAATGTCTCAATGCATCAGTGCATCAGTAACCGCCCTGGGAAGAGAGCACTCCCCTGGGGTCAGTCATAATGGTGGTGGTTGGATTTACTTAAAACACTCTTCCAATGTTTCTCTTAATATTTGGTCTTGAAAGCTTGCAGACAGAGAGCTGGATAAATGCAGGCAAAGTCGAGGATGCAACCAATCTCCGTGAAAGTGCCACGGTAGAGATTTGATCTCTATTGTTTCTAATTACGTGGGAAGATGGAAAAATTAAATCGAATCGTCTTCTGATTCAGATGCTCTGCTCCCAGTCGTGTTGTTGAAATGTGTCACGTATATCAAATTACTCAGTGAGGGCGAGGGGTAAACTCGAGCAGTAAATTCCCATCCATTCACATCAGTCAGTGCTGCATGAAATGTACGGAGGCTGAGAACAGGCGAAATTCTCTGACCGTCAAGAGAGTGAAGTAGAGTTTCCCAATAGTGGAACAGTCGAGAGGCCTGATCGAAGGCACTACATCAAGTGCAAGGATTATTATTGTTATCGCTATAAGTCGAGTCACCATCTCTAGATGTTCGTGCTCCGGGTGCATGACTGAGTAGAGAGCAGGCAGGGATAAAAAAAAAATAATCCTCCTTTTAGAAGTGAGGAATAAATCATGGAGACTAAGCCAGTGAATGGGAACCCGCTTTTACATGGAGTCTTCACAGTGTCGGGACTAAGCAGAATAAGATCCTTTTGCACAGCGCTTGATGTGGAAATAGCACATTGCTCTGCTCACTTCCCCTTAAGTAAGAAAGGGAATGGTACAATCTCCTTATTGCAGGTTGGAGCGGAATTAAAGCCCTCCAGTTGCAAAGAGGAAGCCTCGAGGAGAAGGTTAGTGGCGATTTTGGACCCGGCCTCCCTTTTCCCTTTGTCCTGTTTGCTTTCGCGAGCGAGGAGCGTTGTCTTTAAGGGTGGTTT